TAAACCGTGAAAATAAAGCTTTCTGGCAGCAGCACTAGCAATATGGCAATAAGTTGTCGATTTAAAAATATTCATACAGTATTAAATATGCATATAAATATAAAATTTTATCATATAAAATCTTCATATGCATATAAGATCTTAATAAATAAAAATGAATTCGACTAATTTTTTTTAATGCCAAAAGGTGCCAAACGAGCTGACGGTTTACCTGATGTTAAGTAATAACCACCGCCCATGGACATTTGCAACACCTGTAGGGTTCCAAATGTGTTGCCACCTTTAAATAAAGTGAGCCCCGGCTACCTCACTTACCAGACGAAACGCTGAAGTGTAACACGTCTACAATTGTATGTTCCTTAAGGTCCACGGAATGTTTTAATAGAAACGAAGTCTGCCCGGACAGCAAGTACAAAAATATTATTGCAATCCTCCCTGGAAAGCATAATTAAGCCATTTGATTTGATCTTAAGCGCAAATTTATTTTGCTCATTATAGATATTGGGAGCATCCAAGAGGTAATAAGCTGTTACAGAGAAGTAATTAAGAGATTGCAGGATTGAATGATCTCTTAGGAAAATAAACTCCATGCTATAAATAGAAACAGGGCTTCATAAACTTGAACTTTAAAAATCATAAAACTTTTAGAGGTCAGTTTTGTTATTTTAAGAGTTTTAAATATCGTGGAGTTAGTCCGAGGGAACGCTTTACAAAATTGTTTTTTTTCAATTACGATATATTTATTATAACTTCGAGTGCCCTCGATGGGCCTGCACGGATCTCGACGGTTAAAGTGATTACTTCGCCAACTGCCTTTGCGCGCCGTATTATAAATGACCTGCAATAAATATCATTCAGAATCACGAAATAATTAATGTAAGTGCGCTCACACTAACTATTCCGTGATTATTCCGTGATTGTGTGTGGAATTAAATTTCAAATAAACACGATAAATCCGTAAATACAGTTTTAGTTCAGTAAGGTCGCTTGTTTTACCGATACTGGAAACGATAAACCCATTAGGGTATGTAGGTAATTAGAAATATTTCACAGGGAGTACCGTGTACAAGTAGTTAACTAAATTAAATTTCACCACAGTTACACTTTTCGTTCAGTTAATACTACTTCATTTAGTGATTTTTAAACCTTTTTTTCATTCATCGAACGACCGTTCATTAAATGTTGTCAATGCTTTCAGCTCGATCAGGGTCTGATCGGCTATCTTCGCCTCTAACTACGTTCCCGCCAAGTTGTGGCGGAGGGGCTTGGCAGCCGTGGCTTAACACGGCGAAGCCAAGAGGTACACACACTAGAGCGGCTTGTGGCGTAAGGCTGGCCCGAGAGCGCCGCTCCGAGTTGGCTCATTAAGCCCACTCTGGATGCGTACAGGGAATGTGCTGGAGTACAGGTCGAGAATGGTAGTAGTAGATCAAGTCTCCCTGTCCTCTGCAACAGAGGTGGAGTCGCGGAGAATGAGGAGTTTGGCATTGCATTTGCCCACACTCCTATCCTCCTGGTGTGGAGTCTTTCTACTCCTCACAGCCAAAACATAGTGAGCAGCGAGACCACATACCACGTCAACCGCTGACGGCCGTTATCTGGTTGCTTGATAGCACTAGCTCTCCTGCCTCCCACGGCTCCTGGGGAGCGGACTCGGGGAGTCCATTGCCCTTGCAAAAGGGAGCGAATAGACGCGCTGTATGTTTAGGAAATTTAAACGCGTACTAGCAGAACTCTCTAGCTAGTGTAGCAAAAAAAATCCATCTACCTTTTATAAATTGCCCTCTGCACCCATCGACAACTCTACCCTTTGTATGCCAATTCTGACAACTACACAATTTATTATCACAGTCAACTGGCACCGTCTCAGGCTGCAATGCCCATCAATAAATTGCTATTCGACCTCATTTCCCGTACCAATGTCTAAATCAAAGAGTTTCTATTATAGCTAGCTTATTATTGCTAAGTTATATAAGTTTTTTCGAGTTGTACAGTTAGATTTTCTTTTAAATTCCCTTAATTATCCGTGACTAGCCTATAGCCTGCATGTGAGCCTGGTAATGAGATTGAGTAATATCCCAATTTCAACAAAGATTGAGTATTATCAACAGTTACATGCCGGTATTGGGTTGGGTACCTTGTTCAATTTGTGTTTTGTAAAAGAACTTTACGACATAGGGTCACCTTATCCTAATGTAAACCCTGGTAAATAATAATATGTAAAACGTTATGTGAAAGTATAATACTTTCGCGTTTCGTCTGGTGAAGTAGCCGGAGCCCAGTTTTTAAACAGTTATCAACGCATCTGCAACCTCGGGTGCAGCAGATGTCCATGGGCGGTGCTATGCACTTAACATCCGATGAACCTGCTGGCCGATGCGATGAACTTTTCACATAAAAAAATGTTCAGAGGTCCTTATATTTTATAATAATATATATCAGAACACCAAAGACCCCTTAGTTTGTCCCATGACATAGGGGCTATAGAGTTCGAGATATAGGGACTTCAAAACAAAATTAAGGAAGATGAAATCTGCAATACAGTTTCATTTAACAATGCATTTGAGTAAATATAAGAAATCATTAAAATATTAATTTATTACATTGGATTAATAATGATGGGTTAATTAAAAATAATATAAATTATCACAAAGGCAGTTAAGAATTCTATCTTGTTATTGTTATAATAAATTAAAGTATCACTAATGTCACAGAACCAATTTTCAGGCTTTTCTAAAAGTGCCCAAATTCACACAGGAGGTTCAGACTCGGTAATGTAATCGTTTATTGAAATAAAAACAAACTTTTTTTTTTTCAAAAGAATTGCCCTTCCATTCGCTAAAAACAGAACTTGTTGATGACAATGCAGTAGTAATTCATAAATTCGTCGTATACTTTCGAAATTAAATTGTGTGCGGGTTAGTTATGAATTAGTTAGTTATGATCGCGCGTAAAATAAATGAGTTTCCCATAAATCACGCACTTTTAGAGATAAGTTCATATGAATATATGTAATTAATTTACGAGTGATTTTAAATATTTACCGTTATTTATGTCTAGAATTTAATAAAAAAAATGGATACACTTAGAAAAGCCTCCTTGTATATCTCGAACACACATGAAATCACAAAGTAAAAAGGCTTTACATTAATTGAATTACCCTCATCCATATTCATATTTTAATAACACTAATTTTGCATTAAATTTCTACTGAAAAAGCTTTTTAAACACTTGTGTGACCCTTTCTTTAACTTTAGCAGTGATTATTTCTTACTACTTTTCCAGGATTTTCGGAATCCGATTTAATTGACAAATTAAACATTATAGGTAACAAGCTTAATCAATAAAAAGTTATTATTGATGATTGAAAAACGTAATAAAAATCACCAATCGCTAACATCATTAATTGCATTGTTGAAAATTTTTGTTATAATTTATAACAAAAAAGGTTAACACCACCCTAATTATTAAAATTTCATTGCTACTTTGATGCTAATATTAACATTTATGTATTTATTTAATTTATTTTTGATTTAATTTTATATTTTTCATTTGTACATGTGGTGTTTATCTTTAAGTAATTGTTACACTAATATATGTTCAATCTTAAGTAATTTATTGTAGGCTTTTAAGAATTATCCAGTGTGAACAATTGTTGATTAACCCTTTTTAAATTAATGGAAAAATTAATAAATTTATCAAATTTTGCTTACAAAATATTTTCTCTTAAAACAGATAAAATAAATTTAAGCAAAGTAACAAGTCAAAGGTGAGAATGTAAACAACCTACTGATATTTAAATATATTTTTATGCATATCAATTTGGAAAGGCTTAATTTCCCTCTTTGCTATGATATAATATTATTTCTCTCTAACAAAACTCTATCTGCAGGCTAAGATGAATTAGAACTTAGCCAAGATAAATTACAAAATAATAGAAGTAAAAACAGTAGATGAGTGGTATAGTGAAAAAACATTTGCTCCAATTTGAGGTTCAAACTCAATCTCTCACATGGTATCTACCAACTAAGCTATGTAGCTGTAATAATAATATCCATAATCTAATAGAGCTGAGGGATTACATTCCACATGATGTAAGCTAATTGAAAAGGCTTCTTTAGGGAAGGCGAGTTTACTGTTTAGCATCTTGGACTGGAAATTAAAGTTACATGTATTAAGATATATAAAAAAAGTTTAATAAGAAAGCTGCAAGAGTAGAAAAAGAAAATGCTAACATTGCTAAGAGCTGAAAACTAACAATAATAGTTGACCGAGAGAAAAGTGTGTAAAAAAGATAACAACTATTGAGCAAAATACATTCCTGACACTATACCACATGACCTAGGATTGTTAGATATTTTGTATTTGATGTCAATACACATATTAATTGTTATACATATCTTCTTCTTTCTCCTGCCCTTATCCCATACTCGGTGGGGTCTGCACAACATGTCCCTTCCACTTTCCTCTATCAGCTGTCATTTCAATATTCATCTCACCCACACCGACATATTTTTTAATACAGACATTCTACACATTTTTTTTATTATATTATATTTATATTTAAATATTCTAGTAGCATTTTATGACTCAATAAGATTCCATTGTATTATTATTGGTACGACTTTCTTCTGGCCTCTTTGAGTCAGGAAATATACTTTATCACCCTAGGTATATATATAAAAAAAACTTTGTAATCAACAAATTATTGTAATGCATGAACACTATAACGGAGGAGCAGTCATAAAAAGAAGAAATTCAAGCATTATAATATTGGATTTGATACAGCCTAAATTCCTTTGATCCAAGAACAAGGCAAACAATCATTTGATAATAATTAAAGCAAATTTCAAGCAATTTAATTTGCCAAGACTTGTTTTTGTCATAAGAACAATACAATAATCTTGCATTCTGTTACTAAAGTCACAAGTAAAATGTCAAAATACCTTGAAGGGTGGTCTATGATTTTTATGGTATATACAAAACACAGTTTAACAGACCTTTAATCTTCGAACTAGCTCATCAGGGCCAAGGTCATCGGTAATGGGGCGGCAGCCTTGCGGGTACACTATTTCCGCCATGCTGCCAATCTGCAATTCCAGGATAAAAATAAGAATTGATTATTGTATATAAAATTTCTTCACATTTAACCTTACCATGCATTTTAGAAATTAAAATTATGTTACATGCAATGTAGCTATATAACACCCATTTTGCCTCCATATCGGTGTGCTTGCTTAGTTCGCCATACCAAAGAAAGATACACAATACAAATCCCTGTATTGACACCAATAAAATTGTAATTGTAAAATGTAATTGTAATGTATAATTCAATTTTAAGTGCTGGTCTACTGTGTGGCTAGAGTTGAATGTAAACATTGCGGATAAACCTTCTTATCACAGAAACATTAAAAATATATATCTTGGAAATATTGGTGAAATGGTCAACCCAGTGGGTTCACACAGTGTTACACCAATATATTTCAATCACTTTTTCCACATATTTATTAGATTAATTTTGTTTTCCTATATCTTCTAGAATCATTAAGCTTCCTTCAAATAATTCTTATAAATATTGTTTTTTTTTTATGCAAAAACACCACAAAAGTAAAGTGTTTCCAAGTAAACCAAACATAAACATTTTAGACAGTCAAGGAATAAGTAATATAATCACTTATATATGACAATGGATCAATTTCTGGTGCAAAACAAACAGCTTATCTACTATAGTAATTTATACAGCAAGTCGTTACCACCGCGACAATAAATGAACACACATATACACATATATTATACACCAATTTTTTGTTTTAGCTCATTCCCAGGGGATGAAATTACTTTGTTAGTTATCAACAATAAGGTTAAAACTAGGTATAATAGATGATACCATATTATATACATTCAATATTAACATTTTAACTAAGAAAATAATAAAGTAATCATAATTGAACATATTTTTAAATATTTCTTTTCATACATATTCATTTACCAAAAGTGGACACTCCAGGTATCAATAGCATAATAGAATTTTAATAGAAAGTATTTGAAGTATTTGGAAACATACTGTTGATGCCTTATGCAATATTGATATAGATAGAAAAAATGTATGCCCAGATCCGTATTTTTTTCTTTGTAAAATTAACATTTAAAGTTGTAAAAACTCTCATTGAAACAGATAGACAGATCTGAAAATAGACTGATAGAAATAGACTATTGAAAACACTGCTAAAAGGAAATATGATTTTCTAATGATTTCCAAACATTTTGTTTTCACTAGAAATAATTGTGTGTAACCTACATTTTACCATCCTATTTAAAATATTGTATTATAGAAGAATTACTTGCTTTCTATTAATTATTAGATAAACTTAATTTTTATTTATAGATCATCTGATTTTATTGTTGATTTATTGATTACAAAAGGCCAGTGAAAGTAAAGCATTTTGTAACATAAAACATATTAAATCTGGTTTGGTGCGTGTATACACATTAAAAATGTTTCTACTTTTACTAAATTTTTAATTCTGCCTTAGAAAATCTGTCAACAATTTGTCAGTACAACTAATAGAAGGTGGTCTGTCAATCAGGTACTGACTTGACATTGGCAGAATTCTTTAAAGAGAAGCCATAAAGAAAGAAAGAAAGAAGAAGGTGCACAATTTTTAAATCTTACATCATTTTAGAAAAAAAAACAATCACATTATATGTTTAATAACAACTTAATTTGTTACATAATTTAATAATTTCATGGATCAAATTCGAACCACTTAAATATCTCTTATAATATCATTATTTCTTATTCAAATCACTTTTTTTTCCTGCCTTGGTCCGCATGAGATGTTATTCTGTTTCACTTACCTCTATCAGCCATCATCTCAATACTCACTTCTTACACAGACACACCATTCCTCACACAGTCCATCTAAACCTTTCTCAGTATCCTAATCTAACCTAATTTGGGTGTAACCAACAACACATACATACTAAACATCTAGTCACATAACTATCATCCCTTCTCAAGACATGCATGTACCATGTCAACGTACCACTCCCTCGTTCTCTCAGTCGCTTAGGCATATTTCAATATAATTTGGATCTTACCCATTCTAATAACATCATGCTTTCATCTTAATATTTCATCTTTCTGCATACATTATTCCTCTCTCATCAAATAAATCTTTATAATTATACCTATAGTCGAATAACATTTGATATTATATTTTACAGTTATTATATTACGCTTTATGAATCAATCAATATTGTGATCGAAGCTTTCTTCTTCGTTGAATAATTACTGGTACACTTGTCTGTACAACATAACATGTCCCAAAACACTGTTTTACCAGAGACCTAATTCCATTGTAAGTTTATAAGTCGAAATATTAAATTATTATAGCTTTTGACCATTTATCTCTTCAAAAAAATAAAGTTATGTTTTGATGAAGCTAAATTTAATGTATTTACCATCATGTAATTAGAATTGCTCTGGGCTAAAAATGCAAATAATCCTAAAATGGAAGAAACATTTCATTTGACCTAAATAATACTGAATTTCTGTAAATAAAAATATGAATCTCATCAAGTAGTAACACTGATATAAAAATTAACCACATTATTTAATGGATGACCAACAAATAATAAACCAAACCAGTCAATTGTACAATTGAAATCTAATATACATTTCTCATGATAACTTCTATTAGGACAAATTAAATTGTATTTTTGATTATTTTAAATATGTAACATAACTCATCTTTTCAGGATCATGCCGTTAATTAGTAAAATCAATGATAAGGGCAAATGAACTATGAGATCATTGTATCTCGAAAATGGGTCACAATTGATGGTACCATTAGGAATTTCGAATGTGCAAACAATTTATTAATACAATTTCACACCATATCATTACTTTCACTTTGAACGTAAAAAATATAAAAACGCTTAACACACAGGATGTATGATGTTACCAATATTGGCACCTGTGCCTTTATTACGATGCGTTAACACAAAAACATAACACATAACGACTTGGATCCCTATAACTTCTAAAGCATAAATAACTTTTATACATAAAATTAACTCCCTTGCAAAAACATGACATTGTTTTGAAATTCAAAATAATATATGATTAGAATACCATCAAGCATCACAATCACTTCACCACGATCCTGTAACTGTCGTCCTTTATACACCATCACATAAACATACCATAAATTTTACGTTTGCCTGTATTAAATTGCAAGGATGTACACAAGTTCGACGTAAAGATTATAATAATAACACACAAATGCGAAGATAATACCGATAATGGCCAAAATACGTACAAGAAGTCATAGACGTGGGGCCTGTGTTCCCGATGTTTACAAAATCACTACAACCGTTAAGGTCCAACAAATTAATCACAACATTAACATGGCTATCTCGTGAAATGTTCACTGGAAAAGAAAGTACTAGAATACAGAGAAACTTTATAGATCTAAATACATAGAAAACCGACTTAAATTTTTTTATCAATCGGTAGACGCCAAACTGCGGGAAAAACTATAGCGAAGTTAGCAGAATTTTAGCTTGCAATTCAAGGTTAATCTATACTTTATGGAATTTATCTGTTCGGATACGAGTTTCTTAAGAAAATTACACTTAGTCAAAAATTAGAGTAAAAAAATGCGTTGCTGTTGCAAAATGTGCGTTGTATAAAAAATATGCAAGGAAAAGTTAAAAAAATGTAAACCTTGAAATTCGTCATGATCATAACCCAATCTATTACTATTCTTTAATTATGTGGCTTGGTGATTATGTAATAATTGTATTCTATTTATTTAATATAATTGGAATTTAATTATACAATTCCAATAATATTAAACGCGATGCTAGTCATTGAGGCTTCTGACATATTATAACCTATTTGATTCCCTTTATCCAATATCATTATTCGAATCATGATAGAACCCTTCGCTCCCCGAATAATCTCTTGCTTCAATATCCCTCCTACAAATCTAACTTAACTTTATGTGCTCTTCTTTTCCCGTTCAATCCATTCTCCTTTGGAATGACCTTCCGTATGACATCAGGATCCTTTGAGTTCAGTGACCCCCGAAGAGGTCCAAGACATTATTAAAAAATTTAAAACCTAAATCCGCCCCGGGCCCAGATAATCTTAGTAACAAAATTCTTAAAGCTCTCCCTGGGCCTCTTACCTGTTTACTGGCGACCATTTTCAATACTTTACTCTTCAGTTGCTCCTTTCCGGACAACTGGAAACGAAGCCACGGTTATCGGCATTCGCAAGCCGACTAAACCAGCGAACCAGCCCTCTTGTTATTTCATCAGCCTCCTCAGTTGCCTAGGGAAGCTCTACGAGCGGCTTCTATTAAACAGGCTCAAAGAGCATGTGTTTTCCAACGCCCTTCTGCCGGCGGAACAATTCAGCTTTCGAGCTAGACATTCCTGTCCCGATCAATTATTCCGCCTAACGGAACATATTCTAAAAAGCCCAAATCACCCTAAACATATTAGTACAGGGGCTCTTTTCTTCGATGTCGCAAAAGCATTTGACAAGGTCTGGCACAACGGCTTGCTTTACAAGCTGTACACACTCAAAGTGCCAGATAGGCTCGTACACACCATCCGGGCTTTCCTGTCGAACCACTCTTTTCGATATCGAGTTGAAGGCACCCTCTCCACAAGCCGCCGCCTCACGGCCGGCGCACCACAAGGCTCTTGCCTCTCACTTTGCTCTTTACGCTCTAGACGAGCGATATACCTAAAGACCCTAACGTCAATCTCGCGCTTTTCGCGGATGACACAGCGCTCTTTTATTCAGACCGCAACCTTAGTCAAATAACCACTGGAGTCCAAAGCGCCGCCGACCGCCTCGGCGATTGGTTCCGTAAATGGAGAATATAAGTAAATCCCGAAAAGAATGTGGCGATTCACTTCACACGAAGTATTTACCCGTCACATCTTTATAATGGCCCTCGCCAATGCAGAAAGTTGGGACAAATATCCCTTTATGGCCAACCGCTCCCCTGGGAGAAAAAAGTCAAATACTTAGGAGCCACTTTCGACTCGCGTATGTCATTTATTACGCACATTAATAACGTTCGCAATAGAGCCGCGTTCGTCTCCGGCAGGCTACACAATTTAACTAACGCGCAAATATTTTATATAAAGGCATTATATTAAGGCACAAATTATTACTATATTATTATTATTATGGGGGGGATCTTCATTTGTTTTCTCGTCTGGTTGGGTTTATAATTAAAAATAAAAATATAGATACATATTGCATATATAAAATAAAATATTATTATTATTATTATTATTACCTTCGTACGACCTATTATGTCATACGCATGCATGACCACTAGCGCAACCACCTTCGATACTTGTTTAATATTTAAAAAATATGGGGCTTACTTAGTCAATTGACGTACTATTAAAGAGTATCTTGAAATTAAAGACATCCGAATCACAAATAAGGTGATCAAACTCCTTCCTGCTAGTGTTATTCAGATACTTCTTCCTGTCTGAATGTATGGAAGCTGAAGTCATTGCCTCAAACCCTCGAAACCAGCCGCTCTTCCAACTTTATACCACCCAATAAGTCTTCTCACAACGTTTGGGAAGATTTTTGAACGGTTAATTTTAGCCCGCTTACGAGTCTTTATGGATTCTCGAGGGCTCCCCATTCCCGAACAGTTTGGCTTGTATCCACCAAACACTCTTGTATCCACGAAGTACACCGCATCACGGAGCATATATACTAGTTAAACGCCAACGCGGACTCAAACCGGAGCGCTTTTCCTCGATGTGGCGAAGGCCTTCGATAAAGTCTAGCACAACGGGATCATATACAAGCTATACGAGTACGGAGTGCCCGATCGTCTCGTATGCATAAGACGAAACTTCCTTAGTAATTGCATCTTTTGCTATCTTGTATCTTGTATCTTGTATTAACTGATGTTTTTGCTTTCAGTCCCGAGACTATTAAAGCTTCATCTGACGCAGAACCGATGGGCTAGCCAGAACCCACAGGTTTGGGCCCTCCGCTGTGGGTAGGGCCACGCATGTGCTCATGCGTGCGTTTAACTATGGTGTGTCATCTAAGGGCCATCGAGGTCGTGGTTCGGACCGAAACCCCGATGGCCGTCGACTGTGCAATTAGCTAATCGGTGGCTGGGGGCGGTGAGAACCGCCCCGGATCGCGGGTGTACCTTGTGTACGCGTTGTGTTGGTCTCGCCGTGCTCGGAGGCGAGGGCGAACTAGTGTGTTTGTTGTTGCACTAACTGTGGGTGTAGTGTTGTCCGGCGGGACCCCCGGCAGTGGGTCCGGCGTGTCTAAGTCCCCTTCCTCGACCGGGTCGATTAGGACGTTTCGCGGGCGACGCTTGTTGAGGTTCGCGTTTTTGTCGGGTTGGTAATTTGCTGCGCTTACCACCAGAGGGTTGGGATGATGTTCGGCTCTATCGAAGAACCGTTTGGTCAGGTCTTTAAAATATTCGCGAATCTTTTGCTATCGCGTTGAGGGAGTGTGCTCTACAACGCACCCCGTTCGAACCGGAGTACCTCAAGGGTCGGTGTTGGGCCCAATACCCGTTACCTACCACACATTATACAGATCTAAGATTTTTGTATTGCTATCAGATTTTCTTTTAACTTAACCAGTATTCCAGCTATCATAATGTATGCGACTTTTAGGTATTAAAAAAAAACAAAATATAAAAGGGTTGAAAAATTTATTAATAAAATCAAAGTTCTGAGGCGCTTGGACAAGCCTTATTAATTATAGAATTCTTAGTATTAACATGGTCAAAAGCTGTAGCATTCAAATAGAACTTAGTAATTAACATTAAAACAAGCAGCAGTCAGTTTGTCAAGTTGGCAACGTTATCGCCTTACATGTAGTCTATACGAACAATTACTATAAGATCATTGTCAACAGACAATGGTGATTTTAACCGGTTTAAGTGTATGGTAACGAGACTCCACCGACGGCTGCCTTTCGCTTACTAGTAACTAAGAGGTGAAAACCACTGAAGTTCAAACCGAAAATCGAAGATTTCCTTTTATATTTAACTTTTATACCGAAGTGTGGTCGCAATTCGAAAATTGGACCTTGAGATCTTACATATACTTCATACGAACATTATAGGGACGATATTTCTACGATACTACAAAATCATTGTAGAAAGCAATTAAATGTTTATTTTTATTTAATCTATGTTTAAGATACAATATAAATTATAAACTATGTGTAGTTCAATGATATTTTATACTATGGATATGTTATACGCTTACAAAATATACTAGTCGAAAATTGACATTCACTCGTTTCTTTCACAATGGTATACAAAGCATAACGTAATCAAATCATTAATTAAAAAGAGAAGGGCAACTGCTTGTCAGCGTCAGTATAAACAAATTTCAAGGTCCATCCGTCTTTTTCGTCCCCATATTGAAATATTAGGAAAAGAATAGAAATATACTACAAATCAATTAAAAAAAAAAAATCAATATATTGTATTATAAGTACATGATACGAGTTCTCTTGAACTTTTGAGTCATACATAGTACATCTTTTTTTTTAAATATTTATTGTACACAAAAAACAAGATACAAAAAAAAATAATGAAAATGAAAATAATATACAAAAGGTAAGCTTAACTCAATGCATGAGCTCTCTTTTAGAGACACACGACGGCATTTTCATTATTGTAAAATTTATGACATGTGTGTCTTACTCTCGTATCGTGTCTTACTCGCAGCCCGTCTAACGCGAAATAAAGACGAGTCGTCCCAATTGGGACGTTTTAGTGGCTTCACTTCGGGCGCGTTAACGACATATCTGTAGTATAAAATGTCATTGTTGTAGTTATTGTTTATGTTTTCTTACAACCTATCAGCAATATAAAAATAGTTGGACATTTTGATACAACACTGGTTTATTTAGTGCGTGTATTGATTTTAACAAGTTTTGAAACTATTTACTTAATCGAAAGATGCTTTAACATTTCCCTTAAAAATAATAAAAAATCATGCTTAAAATAAACATATTTATTACCTAATCTAGCTCAAGTTTTCTGAAAGAACCGGCCGTTGAATGAATGTCTTGGGTCAAATCGTTCTTCTCCAAAGCGTACAAGTCGACGCACATTTCGTCTAATGCCAACAATTCTTCTCTTCGCTTAAGAAGATTTTTCTTTAGCTCTTCAATCATGTCTTTTAAGGGTACGGTGCCGCCATATTCTTTAGGCAAAATGGCGGGATCCACGTGCTTTGTCAAATCATCTGAGGAACGATGGAACTGAAAAGTATTAAAGAAGTCATTTTATTATAATCATAATAAAGTTAGTGTAACTTATAGTAAAATATAGGTGATTTACAACAAGTTTTCTACATGTTCTAAAGTTAAACTCCTTAGTTATTGCTAATGGAAGGTATTTGATATACCTACCCACGTACAAGCCGGGATTTCAATCGGATTTACTGAACAATATTTAATACTAAAAGTGTAATACCTAGTTGCACAGCAAAGACTATTGTCTCGTTTATATAAATATTCCAATGACATATATTATGCGACGATTGTTATGGAAGAAAATAAAACAAAAGAAATATGGTTTTCTAAGTCAGTGGCAAAACAAATATTATTAGACAATAGGAAATTATAAAAACTTAAATCTAATAACGTGATAATAAACGAAATTAATGAACATTGAATCATGTTGTGTTTTATAGTAACAACAATAGGACTGGGAAATGTCACTATTGATACTTTAAATTATTTATATGTATTATTATACAGCGTGTCGTTACCATCGCGACAATAAATGAACACACGTCTAACGCTACTTGCCAGTAATCATAAGAAAATATTAACGTTAAACAAAATCCATAATTAAAAAGACATATTTTTCAAACAAACTAATTAAGTAAAAAAGAAACAAAATTTGTAACATCCTATACAACTCGCACCACAGCGTCGCATTACAAGCCTCTCCTTCTAACAGTATGTTTTGTCTCTTTTAAATTCATTTAACCCTTAAAACATGTAGAAAAAGTACGAAAAGATTGTCGCCGCTGTGGGAATCGAACCCACGTCTTCGGCATTCGCGGCCTGACACTCTAGCCACTGAGCTAAACGGCTGATAGCCACAGCGACGAAAATCTTAACGCCTTCTTTCTACATTGTTATTTAGCATTTGAAGCAATGCTTGGCGCATCTATTGTTATATCCTTTCCAGCATACGAACAATTTCGAATATCGTTTTACAACGATAATTCGAACGAGAGATGTCGCCATTGCTTTTATAAATTTTAAAGTTTTTATAGTGCTAATCTCTGCACTTAAGATTGAACATTAAAACATGTAGAAAACGTCGTTTTTGTTGACAAGGCGACAATCTTTTCGTACTTTTTCTACATGTTTTAATGTTCAATCTTAAGTGCAGAGATTAGCACTATAAAAACTTTAAAATTCATTCAACCCATTAATATGCTTTGTGACCTTTACAAATGAACTTTACGTTACAGTTTTATACGTAAGGGTGTTCTAAAATTGTTTGTTGTGGAAAATTTAATAACTCGGTAAATATTGATGTTTGAAGAATGTAAATGTTTAATACAATTTTAAAAAGATATCCTCTATATGTGTGTTCATTTATTGTCGCGGTGGTATCGACACGCTGTATAATATATGAGTACTTAAACACGTACACATAAAATATATTAAAGACATAAATACATATATTCATATATAAGTATTATATATAATATACATATTCTTGCAGCCATAGTCCAAACGGGCTTGAAATGTAAATATGTCTAGATAGCCGACTGAACTCCTCCGCTCCTAACAATACAATATCTATTATCAAATAATATTGGGGAAAATAACACATACCATAACCCGGTCCTTCAACTTGTCGCTGAGTAGGGACACGGCGAATTCAAAAAATCTCACTCCGTAGTGTGGAATGTTCACAAAATGTGTGCATTTGTGTCGCATAGGAGTGGAATTCTATAAAAGAAAAAAAATAGTTGTACATTAACCTTTGTTATGTTGTTTAGTCTTTTATGTAAAGATCTAACATTTTTTGTAGCTAAGTGTATAAAGAAATACAAAGAAAAAATGTTGCAATAAAAATTATTCAAAAGAATATACAGAAGCGGTTTAGTCTCTGGAAATAACTTCCAGCCACCATGCCAAGGTTTAAAATGTGTGAATTCTTTTGTACTAAGATCGTCGTCTCACATCCAGATTACCCTTTCTCGATTGAAATACCGTAATTAAAAAGAAATACAAACATTTTATGGATATAATTTTATCTTACAACTTATTTTAGACAATACAGTCTAGAGAGTTATGACAGTTAAAAAATAGATTGTCGTATCTGACATAAAAAAAAGTACCAGGTTCACACTACACTAATTTATTTCATTCTGTGATGTATGAGATCGCATACTAATTACGCGATACTTCGATCGCATATTAATACGCAAAAACGACATCAAGCTAAGCACACGAGTACAATATTGGCCGGTTTCAATATTGAATCTACAGATAGATTGACTGCCACGAAACACGATCCTGAACCACCTGCATCGATCGATTTCCCGCACACTTGCACAGGTCGCACTAAGCACATAGCATTACGAAACTTACTTGGATACAATTGAGCATTATCCTGACGTCGCTTAGCGACCAAAGACTGACGTGGGGCATCTGCATGCCGGCTTCGTCATTCACGTGCGTGTAGCCGAGGAGTTGTGACCGTGGCTCGTCCAGTAGGAGTTCCACTATCATCGAGTGGACGCGCGCCATCACGCAGTTGTCGTAAAGGTGCGGGTCGAAGCGTCCTGGAGGAGAGAAACTCTGATTTCATGGGTTTACGCGTGTAGTACACGCACCGAATAAAATGTAATAAAGATGACGCATGTCCATACTGCGCGGCATTTAAAAATTGTTCCATTATATGACACATATAAGTGAAAATAAATGTAGATTCCTATGGAGAGGTAAAGGAAGAGGCTTTGAACAGGGAAGTACTGGGATACTGTACCGACAAGAGCCAAGCTCTTAAATTAAAAAGAGAGGGAGAGATAAGTGAATGTAAAAGATGATATAGAACGTGTGATACGAAAAGAGATAGCAGTCTACAGAATTGCAATCTAATAATTTGAATGCGTTAGTTTCACTGCGGTATCTTCGGCCCATATATGTATTTTGTCGCGTTCAATTGCTTTCTTAATCATACATTTTATTGAAAAAATATTTACAAGATTAAATCTATCTAAAATTACATATTATCTAATAACCCTAATCCACACGGCATGGTGCCAAGAACGCTAGCTGCATTTCCTCGCTGAATAGTTATGCAACTTTTGAGCGAGAAAAGAACCAGCTCTCTTGTCACCAGCCGCGGCGTTAAGCCTAGGACATAAACTTTTGAAAAATGTTGATATGTGGGGACCCCACGGACCTAAAGTTTCAACAGCAAAAGGCACGAATACATAATCTAAAAATAAAGACTCATATTTGCGCCATTTACTTACTTCAGCTGCCTCCGATGCCTCCCCGGCCCTGACCGAAGTATCCCTTAGATGAGAGGCAGCCAAAGTGTCTACACAAGTGGCGTCCCAAACAAGGGCTTTGCCTCTATCCCCAGGGATCAAAGTTAAACCGTCAGGTCTCTTATCATCGTCGCGAAAAATGCCACAGGGCTCTAAAATAGATGGAACATTGATGGAAACAAGAGCCCTACGGATGATGTCGTTCAGAGAACCGTGGCGGGAAAAGCGGCCACCACTTTTTTGACAAGAAAGCCCGTGGAGACCAAATTTGTCTACACTAGCACAGTAAGGGCATTGGTGTGGTTGACAAATCGGTGTCTCTAGACGGATTCCTACACCAATGCGGAAGCTTTCATCGTCAATTAGTAACGTGCCCAAGTTACTTGAGGGTAAAGCGTGAAGCCAATAACTCGATTCTTTAGATGAGACGCCTAGGAAACGGGCACGCTCTAAATTACTTTCTAAAGATTGAAACGTATCTTTATGTACTCTCCGCACCAAAGGAACTTCCCACTGTTTGTGTAGGTTTACTTCCAGTGGGATATTTTCGTTGGAGCAGATAGACACCCAAGACATCTTTGCCTCCTCGGGATAGAAAAGTTCTGAATTGTGATTAAGGATATTATTACTTAAATTATTTACGCTATGCACGGAAGAAAGTAAGGCAGGTAGAGCGACACTAGAAATTTTCCTTACACTGATACCACCAAAATTGCTTATGCTATGATATTGCTTTCTTATTTCCAACATTCCGAGCACCAAATCCTTGATGTGCACATTTAATGTTCTTTTAGTCATGAAAATGGATCATTCTCTTTCGATAAGTTCAAGCGTTCAAGTCCGTTTAATAGCTGCCAAATTCGACTTACCCATACAGGACAACACTACCCTTCTGCCCTCCGCGTCTCTCTTCGGCAGCGGGACCAAGTATCCGGCGTCTATGACGGCAGCCACCTTTGGATCCAACGGGTCCAACTTTTGGAACCAGTTCGGATACATTTGCCGTATGGTCAGATACCGCTCGAGCATAGAGCACGCCTGGGGTATCGAGTACTTCTTCGTCCGGAGGAAACGTAGGAGGAATGGTGCATCTACAATAACATATTTAAGTCTAAGTTCCTACGTCTCTAAACTGAGACGGATTAGATAAATCTTTACATGTATATTTGAATGTTTTGAAGACAGATATTAATGAAATAACGTCACAGCAGTGAGCATAGATAATAATGCGCCTCTGCTAGATTTTATTGCCTCTGTTTTACTCTCACATCCATTAACATTTTCATACAAACCCCTGCGTTATGTTAACTTCAGTTTCAAGCTTCTTTCGAAACATAGATGGTCTGTTCAAAAGATTTTATTTTTTTAGAATATAGAGATTAAACCTTTACTAAATCTAAACCTAACTTTGGGTATGTATTCATGTGTTAATTGATACAAATATCAATTTCTGTACATTTGTTTATATGCCTTAATGAAATAAAATAAAATAAATAAAAAGAAAACAATCCCGAACATCTTTAACAATCCCGGGCCTGACAGTCAAATTCAACGAGATCAAATAACGTTTAACTGAAATTAAGGTCGTTCATTTACCACGTGCAGTCATCTGGAAATTAAGGAATTTAAAATCACTAAGAAAATTCCATCGGTCAAAGAGTTTGTGAAAACAAGTTTACACGAGCTTGATAGAAAGTAAAAAGAGTAATTACTCTACATATGTTGTACACTTGAGTAATTACTCTAAGAAAATAAGTCCGCTACGGGCTGTCGAGGGCTAGATTGCGGACCGTGCCGCTAAACAATCTATATTTGATCCACAAATAACTGTTAAGGAACTTAGTGTTTGTGGTTCGTAGCTACATGTTTGCAAAACCCTCGCAACACAGATATTCAGTGTTCTTAAAGTGCGGGAAACGTTAGTTTTTTAAATAGCACTTTTACCTAACGTTACAATGCGTCTTTGAAATAAATTTTTCATCGTGCCGAAAACTTAATAAAAGTTAACAAACTTTACATTCATACATCACACCTTCGTGTCTTGACCTTGTATTTATTTTAATATAGCTCGGGGTTCGTTTTTAAAAATAAAAGAAGTATATTAGCAAGAGAATATTTAGATCGTGTTAAAGTAGAAGATGTATTTACGCTTTATACGCGCATTCTCTTAACAGCACTCGCAACATACCTTCTACATCTAGGACACGGTGATATGGACAGCGGTCCGCACTTACCATTAGGCGGATAGTTAGATCAGAATACGTTTCTAAAAGGAAAATATCGGACCACGCGTTTGATCTGCAGATTGTGACAAAAGAACAAACGGGAAACGAGCAGGAGGCTCACGTGACGCGAAGTGATCACCGCCGCCCATGGACACTTGCAACACCAAAGGGCTACTATGTTAAATACATTACCCTCAAAAAGAAACTCACCGGTGCGACATTTCCTAATAGCCGGGTGTTTCTCTATAAAATGGCGCATTTGCATCAAGGCCTGCTCACGAAGCGCTGGCTCCTCGCGAAGTTCCAATCGAGCCCTCTCCCTCAACTCCGGCGGCAGTTCACCGGTTTCCCGCTCTTTAGCCTCCAGTATCTGAAGCCTTTCATCCTCTGTCAGACGCGGCGACTCGGCAAACTCCGGTTTGTGCTCGCGGTCCCTTCGGCAATCTTCGGGCTGGAGGACGGAGGTGGCCATTTTGAATTCTGCGGAAGTGATTCGGACTTATATAATCTGTAACGTTCGAAAACTAAAAATAACGTCAAATTATCTTATCGATCTGCGGATTACTAACACGGGCGTCCGGAAACGACGACCGCGTAATGTTATAAATGAACCAGCCGAGGAAAGAGACAAAAGTTTGGTAGAGCTACTCAACAGCTTCTGCTATATCACAAATGGGAAGAGTCGAGGGAAGTATCACGGCCTCAAAAACAATCGGCATGAAATAGAAGTATTACATTATCGCGTTTCGTCTGATGAGCAAGATAACCATGACCCATTTTCTAATGGCCGGCAGTGCATCTGTAATCCGTAAGGTGTTGTAGGTGTCCATTAAGGTAGGTAATCACTTAACATCAGACTTTTCTACCAATATAAGACATTTTGTTTTAAATATACTTGACCTCATTTGGATTTGTACGCTCATTAATTTTTTTCAAACTTGATATATAGACATCAATAATGCATAATAAACGCATTTTTACTAATTATCGACAACAGCTTTATATACGCATTCTTTTATAGCTGTCCTTCAATTAAATACTTGAATACTCAAGATGTATCAGACGACACTTTATTTGGAGAACTCTTTTAAGCAGCCTTTATAGTTCTAGTTTTAGTTCGTTTTCTTTTTCTGTAGTTAAATTGGGGTATTAATATGACGGTGTTATATGCGGTAAACCATTATTTTCTCGCTTCAACCATAATGATAATAAAGGTTTCACAAACTCAACCGCAAAATTTGCACATTCATTACATTACATATTTATATAATATTCATATTTATATTCATCACATATTAATATTTACAATCTTTATTGATCTAATTGATTACATATTGATATTATATTATGATACAGGTTAAAATGAAACTTTTTTTTTAATCACTATATACGTAATATAAAGCTCGGAGAAGCTGTTTTTTGGAACATGCATGTCTTTGTATCGTTTCAGGATTGAACCCTTGACACGCCGAGCTATAACAGTTCTCAGTGGCCACTCAAACCAACGCGCCATTCGCTCGATCGGAACATTGTATTAGGTCTTCACTTTTATGATACCAGCATTGCAAAATTGAGCATGCAAATGAATCGATATTTCATTCCGCAACGGATTTGAAAGAGATTCTTACAAATTATTATAGTATTGATTTCGAAAATTATTAGCCAATATGTTGAGTAACAATGTGAAATAAATGTTTGCATCTGAATATTGCGCAAACGAATAATATTTAATACTGACCTAACTAACAAATACCAACTTCTCCGTTTTATTTTTCTTTACACTAAACACGTGACGTGACGTGCAAACCCACGCTTGACCTTCAAAATTGTCCGCGTGCCAAAACTTTCCCTGCATTCACGACTTCACGTCGTCGTAAGTAATAGAGGATTTTGACAAAGTAAATTAGCAGACAAAATGGCCGGTAGGGCCAAAGCTATTAAGAAAAACGCAGATGCTAACTAAATATGGAATTAAAATAATATTTCGAAGCAGTTTACCAAAGTTCTTAGAATTTAATAATGATTCAAGTCAATGTTAGGGATATAAATTATAAACATGTAAGTAACCCTTGATTATACAAAAAAAGGCGAAAGCTATGAAAACGAAATATTCAAACTTGTTTGCTTCTTTGAATCGTGATTTTATAGTATGCATTATAAGTATTTTAGAGATAGTAATGTTTTTATAATACCAGTTATCGATAGTGAAAATTTTGCATAGATTGTTATTCATTACTTAAAACGCGAAAAATCAATGTAAATAAAAGACGTTGAGATTTTCGTCGATGTGTCGTTGGGCGAGAATCCGGAAGACGTGGGTTCGATTCCCGCAGCGGCAAGAAACTTTTCGTCCTTTTCTCTACAAATTTTAATGTTTCTTTTCTGATAGCATTTCAGATTATTTTGTTTTTTTTGCTTAACACAAAAAGATATAGTATATATATATACGTAAGATTTCGTTTTTCTATTTTAAATAACAATGGCTAAGGAATCGAGTTGCCGTAACACCTTACTAAACTTTATCGCGATGACTTAAATCACTCGCACCGAAACTAAGAGTATGACGCAAATCAAATTCGATATACGATTAAAACTCATTACCAAGACGACGTATATGTATTAGTAATGTTATTAACACGTGTCACGTCATGAACGTTGGTTAGATAAACAACTCGATTAAAAATCGGATTCAAATCAAATCAAAAAGTTGACAGATCACCAAGTAGGGTCATAGACAACCGTTAATTTTGTTTCAAAGTCACTGACCGGACCACAGACAAAATCCCGCCACAAAGCAGTGCTTACAATTCAATGGAGTCCATTATCGTTATCAATAAATCCATTTGCAGTCCGCTAGCGTATCGTGTTGGTACGCGGGCGTCGAGGAAAACTGCTCAAATCCTTCACAAGGCATTAGATCCTATAGCAATGACATTAAAGTCTATTTTTGCTAACCAAATTTACCAGTTCTAGGGTCGGCATGCCACCGCCGATCAAATGCAAAGCTATTGTTAAAAGATTTCAAAACATTATGAACATTGAATACATAACCCTTAAAACTAAAATAGGTATGTATGTATGTACCTACCTACGTTTGGATCTAAAATAATGAAATAAAATGAATTTGTTTCTACGTAGTGGGTTTTTTCTCGACACGTTTTAAAACTTTTCCACGTTATAAAGACATGAATCTTGAGTATAATTTGCAAAAATAAATAATTTTTTTTTTAATTAGCCATCTCAATTTTTGCAGATCATGTCGTAGAAAGTTTGTTTTTGGGATTTTTCAACACACGTTTGTCATCTGCAATTTTACATACAAAACTTGACTATATACAGCAAGTCTTAATTTTGTCACAGTATTTGTTATTATAATTTCCGAAGTAAGATTCGAGATAGTAAGGCGAAGTAATTAAAGCATAAATATATATTAACAAAGGACAACTCTTTTAAGATTTACGGTAAATCTATATTCATATTGATAGTCGTATATGTGAAAAAGTAACAAATGATCTCAGGTTCGAATCCAAAATTTTAAAGCATTCATTTAACCTGCACATACTTAATTGTTCCAGACCTCTTATCTTCTCGTCATAATTTTTTTATGACGAGAACAGGCAACGTTAAGCAAAGTCGATATTAATATACAAGGAATATTAACTTATGTGCAAGGAGTAATATTACACGGCTCTGAAATATGTGACATGTTATCCGTAAGTCGCCCTGAGAAGAGCTCAATACAGTAACAGTACAAATTAATATTGCAAATGCGATACAGCTCCGGCCGGCCTATTGGGTAAAACAGACAAACGAACTATCCTTACTTCCTTTCTAATGCTTACTAATATTATAAAGGCGAAAGTTTGTATGTATGGATGGATGTTTGTTACTCTTTCACATAAAAAAATAAAATGCTTCTCTACAAGAAATAGTTTACCCTCAATTTTAAAACTCACCGTGTTGCGTTTCTATATATTTTATACCTCCAATAACGCATGATTATACTTTCTTCTTTTTCTTTCTTGCGTTGTTGAAATTTTAATGTGTCCTCTATAATTGTAATAGTTCTGCCGTAAGTGTGCTAGCGATTAATAACAAATTTGTTCTTAGTGAGACATTAGTTAGGGCATGCTGTATGTTAAAGTTTATTTTTTATTTTGTCTTTTGTTCCCGTTTGTCTCCGATATAGTAAATAAATAAAAAACTACTGAATGGATTTTAATGAAACTACAATAATATAGCTAATACATCAGAATAACATTAATGCTATACTTGATAACGAGATTATATGAATTATCAAAAATATAACGATAAGTGTCAAGTAAGTAGGAAAAAATTTAGCCATCTGAGAGCTGTTCTGGTGTATAATAAAAAAAAACTCATTGTTAATTACCTTAAACCGCGCGGGCGAAGCCGTGTTTAACAGCTAGTTTGTTATAAAAACCTACGTAACAAAGGAATTCGTAGACAGCTAAAACCTGTTAATAGGACTGCCAATGGCCTTGTAAATCCTCATTTCCTTGATATATCGATACTCTTATACACAATTATTGTGTTAACGTATATCGATGATTTCTCCGACTACAAAACCCGCTTGCATAATAGCTAAAATTTTTGAAATAAATGCTTAAAGTAAAGTAATAATCTATGTGCCCCACTGCTGGGTAAAGCCGTAAAGCACTGCTCCGTACAGAGGGTGTTAGGGCATAGCCTACCACGTGACCCCACTGCGGATTGGCGGACTTTACATATCTTCGAAATATTATTGTTAATTATTCCGAAAATTTACAGGTTTCCTCACGATGTTTTCCTTCACCGCTGAGCACTTGATAAGTCAACACTTAAAATCAGGATTTCATTGGTGCCGGCACCGGGGATCTAAGTCAGGTTGCTCAAGTGTATATCACGGTGAGAAAATAAAACAAAGAAAATGAACCTTACAAAGAAAAAAAACACTTAAGAACTTAAAAAAATACACGTTTTTCAATTTGTGATATTTTTTTTAAAATCCGTTCACAGGTTTGAGAAATCGAGAATCTTAGTAACTACAAAAATATATTGATTACATATTATTGTTATATTTTCAACCACACCCCCAAATCCTGGCTGCGCCCATGACCTAAAATGTTGGTGGACTTATAACTTTTTTTGGCTCTGTGTTATCTTAAAAACCAGTCACAACTCCGCTGTCCAGGGTTTGACTACCAACCCACCTCATGTTAACCAGTGGTAACACTATATGGAATTTCAATTTGCATTTCGCTAATCTCTGCACTTTTTTTTTTGGGCTGGATGAGCCACTGTTGGCCTTAGGGGCCTTTGGGCCACAGTTCCGACGGGCTTGAGGTGGCCTGGCGCACGAGTCGCCTAGCCTGAACCTCGGAAAAAAAAACAATGTACATAATAAAAGAAGTTAAGATATTCGTGGCAATTAGTCGTCTAGCTTAGTGTTTAAGACGTCTGGGCGCGAAT